TCATCAGAGTTAAATTAGATCATAAATCAAATGAACTTAACAGATATCTACAGAATATTCCAACCAAAAACTATAGAATACACATTCTTAGAAGCTCATGGACCTTTCTGCAGAATAAATCATATTTTAAGCCATAATCAAACCTTCACAAATACAAAAAAGTTGAAATAATTTCTTCTCAGATCACAGTGGAATGAAACTAGAAATCACGAGAAACAAATCACAGAAATTAAGCAACACAGAGATTGAACAATTCACTTTTATATGATCAGTGTGTCATCAAACAAATCACGGAAAAAATAAAAAATTCTTAGACTCAAATGAAAATAAAAACACAGCATACCAGAGTTTCTAGGATTTAGCAAAGGCAGTTCTAAGAGGGAAGTTTATAACTATGAGTGCTTATATAAAAAATCAGAAAGATCTCAAATATATAACCTAATCAGTGCATCTCAAGGTCTTAGAAGAACAGGAACAAACCCAAATCAAATCCATCAGAAGGAAACAGATAATGAAGATCAGGGCTAAAATTATTGAGATGGAGACTAAAAGAACAATACCAGGATCAATGAAACAAAGCATTGGTTCTTTGAATTGATAAACAAAATTGATAAGGTCTCAGCCAATCTAAACAAAGAAAAGAGAGAGAGACGACCTAAATCAACACAATTAGAGATGAAAGAGGAATGTTTCAATAGACATCACAGAAATACAGGGGATTATTTGGATTGTTTTGAAAACCTATATTCTAATAAACTGGAGAATTTAGAAGAAATGGATAAATTTCTAAACACATAAAACTTACACAAAATGAATCAAGAGAATGTAAAACACCTAAACAGATCAATAACAAGCAATGCAACTGAAACAGTAATAAAACATCTCCCAACAAAGAAAATTCCAAGACCAGATCGGTTCACTGAAGAATTTTACCACATCTTTAAAGAATAACTAACACCAATGTTCTTCAGACTATTCCAACTTCATTCCTACATCATCCCGATACCTAAACCAGACAAAGACACAACAACAGCAAAAGTAAAACTATAAACCAATATCTTTGTTGAATGTAGATACAGAAGTCCTAAATAAAATGCTGCAAACCACATTTAACATCACATTAATAAGACCATACAATACAATCTACTTGATTTCACTCCAGGAATGCAAGGATGGACCGACGTACCCAAATCAAAAAACAATAAATGTAACATACCAAATAAACAGAATCAAGGATAAAAATCACATCTCAATTGATGCTTTAGACAAAATTCAAATCCTTTAAAGGCAAAAGCCCCAAAGAAACTATACACAGTAGTTGCTCAGCTCATAAACTGAATTTTTTCCATGATTTTGGTTGCAAATGGACGAGAATGAAATTCAATTCAATGGTTAGGTTCAATGTCAACCTTAACAGGAAATCTTTACCAGCTACTCTTCTGACAGAGGATTGATATCTAGAGGATATAGAGAACTCAAAAAATAGAACCCCAGTGTGAAAAACTAAAAGTGCAAATAAGGTTCAAATGGTATAATTGAGAGGGTGAAATAGGAAGAAAATGGCTAAAATGACTTGAGGGTGTTTTGAGGTTAATGTTATTGTTCACTTGAATATCAATTTAAAAGAGTCCCCTACCACTGCAACCGAATGTGTGTCTGTATAAGCAACAGCATGGGTGGGAAGAGGAGGGGAAAGGAAATAAGGGAAATGAAAAAATGGAAACAAAGTCTTTGTAAATAGGGAAGGGTGAAGCAGGTGAAGGGAGGGAAGGGGTATGGGGAAAAAACAAGAACCAAGACATATCATGTAAAGGTACAAGATCCCAATGATAAATGTAACTGTACTGTTTGCTTTAAATGTACCAATAAACTTAATGGAAAAAAACAGATTCCCAAATCATCAAATAGCCAGTCAATATGTGGGCAAATGAACTGAACAGACATTTTTCAAAAGAAGCCCAAGTGGCTAATAAGTATAGTAATAATGTCCAACATTTGCACAGGAAGTACAAATCAAAACTACATTGAAGGGCTGGGGATTTGGCTCAGTGGTTCTGCCACCTGCCTTGCAAGTGCAAGGTCCCAAGTTCAATCCCTGGTATCAAACAAACAAACAAAAACTACATTGAGATTCCATCTCACCCCAGACAGAATGGCTATCAAGAGTCCAGAAAGCAATAAATGTTGGCAAGAATGTGTGGGAAGAAGAACTCCTCTGCACTGCTGGTGGGAATGTAAATTAGTTCAGCCACTGTGGAAATCAGTACGGTGGTTCCTAGAAAAACTAAAAATAGAAGTAACATTTGACCCAGCTACACCGCTCTTTGGTATGCACCATAAGGAATTAAAGTCAGCATACTACACGACAGTGGTGGTGAACTTATGATATGTTTTTTTTTTAAAGACAAAAGATATTAATGTGGAGTTGTTTTTTCTAAACTGAAACCTCAGTATTCAAGTTTAACTGTAGTGCTGGCGCTGTGAGATAGGCAGGTTTGGGATTACAGTTTGAACACTCGCTCTCTAGAAGGTTCACCATTGCTGCTGTAAGGATACCTGCCTCCCCCTGTTTATGTGGCTCAGTTCATCATAGCCAAGATACAGAACCAGCCTAGGGATCTGCCCACAGATGAATGTAGAAAGAAAATGTGGTAGATACACACAACAGAGTATGAGCTATAAAGAAGAACAAAATTTTGTCAGTTGAGGGAAAATAGACGGATCTGAAGATCGTGTTGGCTCCAGGACTCCCACGGCCCAGCCCTATCGCCTGGGAAAGAACCAGCACAAAGACAAGGCAGAAGAGAGGGCCCTCTGAGGACCCCCCCCCACCAACACACACACACACTCTTCGAGTCTCTGATGCTAATGCCCGGGTAACAGCGTGGTTCTGCCCCCCAGGGACTGTGTGCCCTTCAATGGGCGACTCCACCTCTCCGTGCCTCAGGCTCCTGGCCCAGATGAAGAGGACCACAGTGCGCTAAAACATCAAACATGTCCCTTTTTCTTAACAGCTTTCCAGGTTCATTTATATTTTTGTCAGCAGGGGGCGCGAGCCAACTGTCTACCATTCACTACGCGGCGTCCCTTCTACAGGGCTGAGGTGAACGACCTGGTTGTTTATGATGTTAATTACTTTTTGTTGGTATTCGTACACAAAATGTACTCCTTATTAACCCCAACCCCCGCTTCAATCATAGTAAAGTGGGAAACGTCAAAATCGTCATCCTCACCCTCATTATCCACACCCTTAAATCACGGTTTACTATGCACAGGTGCTAAGCGAAGCACTTTCTACACATTGGCTTTTTAAAATGTTTACTACGACAGTATGGGGTAAACACAATCCATTTCATAGATGAAGCAACTGGGGTACAAAAATTAACTCAGCCAGGGTATGGTGGTACACACTTGCAATCCCAGCTACTTACTTGGTAGGCTGAGGCAGGAGGACATAAAGAGTTGGGGGCCAGCGTGGGCAACTTAGGAAGGACTGACAGTGTAGCTCAGTGCTCCCTGGATCAAAATTGCTCAGCTACCAAGACACCCGTGAAACTCATTTTGTTTGAGATTAATTTGTTTATGCAACGTGTCGTGAGTTTCAAGAATCCACTTTGCTCCTCACAGACACATTGTACACAGCTGATTAAAGGACCGCCTTCATTGCTCTGGAAAACCCTCAGAACACAGGTGTAATTTTGTTTATCTACCACGCATGGTTGGCTTCTGGCAGACGATGCCTTGGTGCTAACCTTTGAACCTAAAAATACTGACCTTTAATAAAAAGGTAAATATTTATGTGAACTCTGTTTGCATAAAGCGAAGGCTACCGCCGAGGATTCCGTGGGTTTTGCTCGCCTTCTAGGTACATTTATTTCAGCCTGAAAAATGGCCAGAGAACTGCAGAAGACCAAACAGTGTCGTGTTTCTAACTGGGAATCTGAACTGAACTAGAGGACTAGTGTGAAACCTCAAGTACTTCCCGTTTCTTTTATATCAAATTAATTTGCGAGCTGCGAGCTGACCTAAGGTTTTTAGAGAAACAAAAATAGTAATGAGTCGATAAGGTGGGGTCCAACTAACTAGAGATTTGTGTGAACTCGGACGGGAGGGATAGGGGCGACGTGGCATTCCTTGGGTCGGCCAGATGCAGCTCCCAGGACTGAACAGCCAGCCTTTGCTAAATTAATTTAGGGCGGCGCCCAAATCCCAGCTGCGAGCTGACCTAAGGTTTTTAGAGAAACAAAAATAGTAATGAGTCGATAAGGTGGGGTCCAACTAACTAGAGATTTGTGTGAACTCGGACGGGAGGGATAGGGGCGACGTGGCATTCCTTGGGTCGGCCAGATGCAGCTCCCAGGACTGAACAGCCAGCCTTTGCTAAATTAATTTAGGGCGGCGCCCAAATCCCAGCGCACTGGAGGCTGAGACTGGAGGACCCCTGGGCATCCGAGACCAGACTGAACTACACGGCGAGACCCGGTCTCGAATGAATAAATGTTAAAGACACTGAGCTCTCTGATGGCCCAGACCGGGTGCCGGACGTCAGGGCCACACCGATAAACACCACACGGGAGCTCCAACCAGTGGGAAGGCCGGGCGTGCGCACCGAGGAGTGGGGAGCCGGGTCCAAGGGGCAAAGGCGCGGCCGGCAGGAGGTGCGGGTGGCCGGGAGGC